TCAATAAATTTTGATAGTTACAATTGGCCGACAGTTAATGAATTGACTGCCATAAGCAGCTCAGAACCAAATCTAACCAAAATTGATGTTGATATAACTTTAAAAACACAAGGTGTTTATGAATCTGATTGTTGGAAGAGYTTAGATTCTAATTCAACAATTACTGAAGAAAAATCTCATAGAGAGTTTAAAGTGTCACTTGTAAACGAATCTCCTGAAAAACAAGAAACTCATAAAGTATTGCCAATTCCTTCACCAGATGACAATGTTTTAAATAATTGGAAAACTATAGTGATTGATTCATCTAATTGTAAAAGCGATAATGGCGATGGTAATGAATCTACTAAATCAGAAGATGTTAGTGATGATGAAGTTGAATTTGTTCCTTCCACGTGGAATAGTAATGCAATACCTACTAAAACCTCACTACGCAATTCAAACTGTCAATCAGTTAGTAAACATTTTTTGAGACACATTTTTTCTAAATAATATATATTGAAATAATAATTATTTTTTGTTTAGGGTAACAAAAAATCTGTATCATTTAAGCAACAAAACTATCATTGTGTCTACGAGTATCCACGTGATGATAGTGAAACGTTTGATTCAGATATTGGACCAATTTGGGATCGCACGCCTAATTATTTTGATTTGTCATCCTTTAGCGGTATATGTTTTTTTTTTTTTAATATTCTGTATGTTTGTAACTGTAGTAATAGCTAATAATAAATTTGTTTATTTAAGATTGGGGAGCGGGTCCATCAAAAACTGATTTACTCAGTCCATCGTTTATTGATGATGAAGCATGTAATCCAATTCAAATATTTCCACAAGAAACCAACTTCAATTTTCCCTCGAGTAAGTCCCTAGTTTGTATGGCCCATATTATGTCTACTAAGAATAAAATATTTTCTATTTACAGCCACTTTTGATGATGATTTTTATATAAGTAGTTCGAATCAACCATTCGAAATAAACCAGAGTCAATTTTTCCCTGGTCAAAAGTCAAACAATCCTACTGATGACACTTTTGAACCAAATGCGGCTGATTTAACTCCGCTAAAACCCAAGAATATAAGTATGGGCCCATGATAAATTATGCATTTACATTTAAAGTATTTAATCATTGGTTTCTCATTCGTATTTGTAGTTGCCAAATCAAATGATGATGTACCAGAACCTGTTTCAATTGTGAGTGCTGTTACTCTGGATGAAGAACTTGCTAAAGCAGAGATGGATAATATGGATATAAAAACACTAGGTAAAATATTATCATTCAAAATGGATGATGTTGTCAACATCAGTGATATTAAAAGGCCCAAAGAAGAACCACTTTCACCTGCTTTGGGAGAACTTTGTCATACCAAACAGCATTTGACTTTGAATCTATGCAATTCTACATCCATATCTCCTTCCAGCATCAGCACTGAAAAGTTTAACCTAGATAATTAAAACCAGTGATTATTTAAAAAAAAAAATGTAACAAACCTTGTTACTCAAACATACTTAATGTTATGGACAAGTGCCAAACATTATTTATTGTTTACACAATAATCTATTAAAGATGTAAGTTTTTATAAGTTTTATACATAGAATCGTGAGTTTTTATGAATTAATACAGAGTTGTGCACATTGCCAAAGTGAATTTTGGATGTGGATATACAAAATTAGGGCTTTGTTGTGTTTTCAAATTAGCTTGTTGATCTGACATGTTCTGTTTGACGTTCCTTAATATCTAAATTAAAAATTATTAATTGGGGTAAGATGTAATCACAATAAATGATTCTAACCAAAAAATAATTTGTTTTAGTAACTAACATTTGTTTGTTTGTTTTTTTTTTTTATATATATATATAGTTTTAAAATTATTATATTCCAAATGTAAATACTTCATTACGTTTTTATTTTAACAATACAAAAATATGGAGAAGGAGTTTTTTTATTCACCGTCCAAATGGTTGATATTTATGTTATTACTATTATTTTTACTGTTAACAATAAAATGTTTTCTTCTCTATCATTTATAACTAATTTTTTCAATTATGGCATAACATAACAAGGGTAAAACATATGCATTACACATGGTTATTGTTCAATGTTATAAGTATAATATTATATTAATATTCCTAAATATTTATAAAGCTCACATTTATATACAGAAAAAATAGTTTAACTAATTTGATAGGTAAATTAACATCCAATATTAGATTATAAGTGAGATTGTAAACATTTTTTTTTTTTTTTTTTACCCTCTGTAGTTAGTTGCTCTTGTCCATACGAATTATGTTCTCATTTGACGCTAATCATGTCACGCGTTATTATACCCCTATTTCTAGTGTTACTCTCTTTTTTTCTACATCTTGTCTTTAAGCGTTATATAATGTATTAATATTAAATATAGCTCAATGCCCAGAGGAGGTATACATAATTATAAACCCATAACTGAGTGCTATTGTCAGACTATCAGTATTAGACTTTTTTTTCTCCCTATTGTTATTTCTTATTTATATTTATATATAACCTAATTATTAATTAAGAAAATATAATTTTAAAATTATTTTCATCTTTTTTTTATTGTATATTGGTAACTCAATGGTAACTACTGTATTTATACACACATAAATGTATACTTAACTCATATCTTATATTAGTAGATGGAGTTTACCTTTGATCAACATTTACATCATGACGCAGTCATGTTATAGTTATTAATTTTCTATCATATAGATTTAATTTAATTTAAGTATGGTGTATTTTAAGGCTTAGTTTGGCAGACATTTTATTTTAGAACCCATTGGTTTCTGCCATGCCAGTTGGGAGATAGTGACTTCTCTCCCAATATAGTTTCCGTCCCATACAAATATACTGTCTTAAGCAAGATTCAAACCAGTGGCGAAACAACCGTGGTCTTTGAGAAGCGATTGCTTCTGGATTTTTTTAAGGTTTGRGGGTGGGTGGGTGCCGTGGGTATAATACCTATATATAATAAGTACCTATAGCTGGTAAGTCGGCGGGTGGGTGTGTAAATTGTAATAAGTTTGCCTATGGATTATTTTAAGTTCGTTTCGCCACTGATTCAAACCACCATCATTCCGTAATTATGCGCCCTTATAGATTTATATAGCAATTTAGTATGACCTAACGTTATATATTTTTCAATGTCTCTCAATGTACTTACAAAATTGTTATAATAAAATGAGTAATATGTTAGAAGTTGTTGTAGGATGAAAAAATTATCTTTTACTTAATTATAGAAATAAAAAGATATACATATTGTCTACAAAACACTATTTATAGAAATTGTGTAAGAAAATAAAGGTGATACATAAAATATTTATATGTGTTTTTTAATCAATCATTGTGTTTTATTCAGACTGCCAGTGAGAAAATGTGATGCGACTGGTAAATTTGTTTGGTAAAGTGACATTTAAATGAGTTAAAATAAATAATACTTTTTGAGATGGATGAAAATCTGTTAAATAAACTATGATTGAAAATAGAATTCTTGAGTTCTTAATTCTTACATAGATTAGAGGAAAAAATATTTGATTAGTAAACCATTTAACTGTGGATTACAAGTATTATATTTTACTATGCAGAACAAAGTCATTTTTATAATGTTCCAAGAAAAACTGATGTAAAATTAAATATTAAGACATAAAAAAAAACATAGTTCAAGAAATTAATTCAAAACTTGGACTGAATAGAAACTATTTATTTAAAAATACTGCTCTAATTTTAACCTAGAAAACTTGACTAGATTATTTGTTTAAAATTTATTGTAACCAATACCGTAATATGTGGCATAGTTCAATATTCTATTAAATACTAAAAATGACTACTCGCAAATCGCAATCTAAATTAAGTGTACCCATAAACCAATTATATTATTATAATATAAACACATAAAGAACAATTTTGTAATTTTCCTAATGACGAGTAAAAGAAAAAWTCTTCCAAATACAAAAAGACAAGATACAACTAAGAATCGAAGAACATGCAAAAATATTAACCAATTGTAATTTATTCTTAAAATAAATAGGCTCATGTTTTACAAATTACCCTTATAACAATACAAATAAAAGGTAATTATTATGATTATAGTTACAATATACAAAACAGACCTGACCTTATATTTTTTTAATCATTGAAAATGGTGTTTTTTTTTTCGATATATTACAAATGTTACTTAATTTTGATAGTTAATAATAATAGTTACAAACCATAAAGTTGGACAGTAAATAAAAGTTTAAAGGCTCATTAATTAATGCATAAGAATTTTTATCAATGATATTGTGAAAAAAATTAACTATAAAATTTAATAATAAAGTGTTACAATATAATGATAAAAATAAAATATTTTTTAAACCATATTGTTTTTAAATAATTATAAAATTATTTTACACACAAAATAATTTCATTCCCTAAAAACAAATAAGATAGGAATTAGGAAAACATTATGGGATGTGTATTTAAGTAGCTTAAGTATGTTATTGACTAAACGTGTTTAAACGTGTTAACCATTGGAGTGAATAGGAACAAAATTAAAAAACTCATTGTAGAGTTTCAAGGTAAAAAACAAATTAATTTTGGAATAAAAACCAAAATGATTGTTAATTGTAAAAAAAAATTATAATGATGCAGTGGGTGACAAACTTGTTATTACAAGTAAATTTAAAATATCATATTAAACCTAATTCTTTGACTAATTAATTTAAAGCAATGTTTAAAGAAAAGGGAAAATAATAAACATAAATTGCAGTTATTTACATTCATTTTTCATTAATAACATGACTGTTTAATAAATTATTGGAATTATTTGTTTGGTTAAAAACACACTATATAAAATCTGTTTTTTGACTACAAATAAACCATTAAAACATACAAATGTTGCTTAAAATATATTTCATAAATTATGTTTGAAATGACTATTTTTTAATATTATATGTATTATTATTCTAAAAATATATATTTAATACTTATTTACATGATATAAAATTCATATTTTGTTGTGGCTTTATTAGAAAATACAAACATAAAGTTCAACTACAAAATAAAAATATATTTCAATTCTTACCAAGTTAAATGTTAACAGCAGAAGTATAATCAATATTTTAACCATTCATGTTGTAAGCACTGTGCAGCTGTTGCTCTAGCATTTTGATCAAACTCTAGCATTGGTAGAAGAAAACCAGTGAATGCCTTAGCATCACTTTCAGGCCATTTGTACTTTTCTCTTAGTACATCATACAAAAACCATGGCTTCAAACTACTTATATTGCGCAACTCTCCACGTTTATTAAAAAACTGCGGTGACTGCTTTCCTCCATCAATAACTTTTTTCGGAATTTTACCCAATAACTCTATAATATGAGCAATATGATCTTCGTCTCTAGAATAAGCCTCACCTGAATGTGGTTCAAACAAATAATCACCAGTTGCCAGTTCAAATGCCATACATGCAACACTCCATATATCTGATGATACACCATACCCGGCTCCAATTAATACTTCCAAAGAACGATATTGTCTAGTCTGAATATCTTCGGTAAAATGACGATCTACCCAACATGCATTACCAAGGTCGGCTACTTTTACATTGATATCACATATATTAAATGCTGGATCTTCTGAGGGATCATCACGAGATTTACTTCTATATGCTCGTTTTTTCGATAATGGTTTGTTATTTTTACTAGATTCACCAGTTCCATTTTGGTGAGTTGTATTAGTTTCGTCTGAATTATGATCATTCTCAGTATTAGATTCATAAGGTGGAGAGTTTGCAACATTTGGATTAGTACTGTCACTGCTATAACCATTAGATAGAGATTCACTAGCGGTTGCATCTACTGTTATTGGTTCTTCGGTGGTTTTGACATGACCTGAAAGCATACAATAAAAATTAATATAAAACGATAGCCTATTAAAAAAAATTTTAAATTACTATGTGCCCCAGAATAAAACATGAAGTTTAATTTAGAAAAAAAAAAGTAATTATTCAAATATTAACACTAAATATTGAACACGAGTAGGTACAATTAACAACAAAGTTGATTTTTAGTTATTAAATCATATAATACATTTCATTTTTAAAATAATTTAAACCATTACATTAATTTTATCATAAAGTAAATCATATAAATTATAATTAAAACTATTATGCAAACTTATTGAGAATGAATACTAAATATAATAAATACATGCCTTTATTATTTTCACCACAACATTCTTCATTTTGTTTGGACTCTAGTTCTTCTAATTGTTGCATATGAACTTTGAGAAGTTCTGATTGTCGTTTGACTTTTTTCTTCATTTTTTTCTTCTGATTTTTTGTCAAATTAGGTTTATTGAGATTGCTTTTGGGCGCAGTACTGCTAAATGATACAGGCAACTTTTGACCAGTTTGATGAATTTCAGCTGCCTCTTTAGCCAAATTTTTTATATATTTTTCATCCACACATATTAATACATTCTCTGGTTTAATGTCAGTGTGTATTATGTTACATTTTGTATGTAAATAATCTAAGCCTTCAAGTACTTGTTGTATAATATTCTTAACGTTTTGTATTGGTATACCAGAGTAATCACTTTTAATAATCAACTTCAACAAATTATGACCTAGTACTTCAAATACCATGCATATGTGATTACCATTAACACCACTAATTTTAAAATCATTCAACAACATGACTACTCGTTCCCGTTTTTTATCACTAGTATCAGAATCACGAACGCTTTTTAAAAGCTTTATTTCATCTAAAGCAGTTTCAGTAAAATGAGATGCACTTTTTACTACTTTAAGAGCGACATAACGCTTGTCTGTAAAATCCCAACATAGCCAAACGGTTGAAAAATGGCCCCATCCAAGTTTTCTTAATACATGATATCTGTAAAAAAATAAAAGTAATTAATAATATAAATAAATCTTGTTTTTATAATCTTATAGTTATTTACACTAAGATGAATACTTTTAAGAATTTAAAATAATTTTTTTTTATGTAGGTAGCTAATTTTTATGACTAATTATACCTATCATCATCATAAAATTACCTAACTTTATAATTTATTTTATATTTTTATTACAATTTAAAAATTTACCAAGTATTATTACTTCCAAAAATACTAACTAAAATTATAAAAGTGAAGAAATTTATAAGAAGTTAATTACTATCCATGATAATCTGCTCTAAATAACAAAAGGATATTACATATAATTTTTTAAATATTGGCACACAAACACGGAAAATAAATTAACAGAAATTAAGCACTCTGTTTAACTCTGGCCAAAGTACACTGATTTAAACAAAAAAAATGAGGTAATTCTTAATAGACTCATAATTGGTCACACGAAATTTACACATGGACACCTAATGGCAAAGACAGATCCACCCCTATGCCCAACATGCAATGAAAACTACTCCATCAAACATATCATCGTCCACTGCCCAAACTTCAATGAAACTAAGGAAACACTTCGACATCCCTGACAGCCTAAACGCAGCAGTTTATTGGTCCATTTTCCAACTACCATAATATAATATTATATCTAAAAAATATTGATTTGTAAAATAAAATATAAATTGTAAAAATGTAAAATTTTTGTAAAAAGCTAATAACCTGTGCAGTTGAAGCTTAATAAAATAAAATAAAAATTTTTAAAATACTTTTTGTATGATAATCTGTAATCATTTTTTATCAGTCAACATTTACATAATGACAGCTTTTACATAACAAGTTTTTAAAAAATCATGATTGTAATAGTTCACAAAATATTTATTGTGAGCATAAAAAAACTTTGGGGGTATTGGTGTAACCATGGCCAACAGATAAATATAGGTTTAACACCCCGATGAGATCAAAAATATTAGGAGAAAACAGGTATAAGTGATTGCTAAAAATGTTTTTAAGGCATAAAATATGCATTTTTTTATAACATAGCTTACAATAATTTTTAATTGCAATTATAGCTACCCTCCACTCCCGACAAACAAAATTTTTACTGTAGTGGCGCCATTGAGTATGTGTAATAAAAATTTAAAATATTTATCCTAACCTGTTTTGAAAAACATCTCCTATTTGAACTGGATGATAGCCACCTTTGCAATAGTCACTAGACTCTTCTTGTTCTTCCTCATCAGATGCATACATCTCGTCCGTGCCCTCATCAGACTCGTTTGAAGAAGAATCGCTGTCCCTCTGATTCGTATGGGACTTGGACTTGTCCGAGCCTTTGTGGCTCGGTGCGGAGGGCAGAGCGGTTTTGCGATCTTCGTGCGGCTTCTTGGGCAATTTGCGCCGTTTCTTTTTTGCCTGAATCGCCAATATTCGTCTATTCGTGTCCTTGTTCATCGTCAGCTGTTCCCTGTAACAAATCGTCCAAACGACCGTTTCAAAAACTCCGTCGATCGAAGGAACTCCACCGTCAAATTAAACACTAACCGTGTGGTCGTGAAAAGGCTGCTGTCGGATGGGTCGCGCGAACTCGACACGGCTGCGGATGCGAAATGATCGTAAGAGCTGTGGCTACTGCAGCGATCAAAATCAACGAAGAGGCTCCCAAACGGCCACGCAAAGCCTACAGTCTCTAGAGTATTCAGAAATAGTTAGCAATTTGCGGACTTGGAAAACATTAAAACATAAATAAGTATAAAAAAAAAAAAAAAAAAAAAAAAAAAAAAACTAAAAAGTGTATATTATACTATACTCCGCACAGGGGTCCAGGCTGCCGAGCGCGCACACAACAACTATCGCAAGTATCGTACTATCGTATGTGATAATGAATGACGACAATGACTGTAAAAATAAACTATTGTGCTAGCYGATTGAAGTCGGACCGCGTCGGTGCACGCACTGCAAACATTATTGATAACGAATAATGACGACGACGACCACCGTCACGCTTATCAGTTATCTCTGTGGTTTTCGCGGACAACAATAATTTATGTTTTTATTATAATCATAATAATAATAATAATAATAATCATATTATTGTACGACTGTACGTATAGGGACGTCCGACGAAAAAAATTCTGAAATTTTCCTCCACGCTTGCACACACGTTAACTCGCCATACGCRGTATTATGTTTTCTACTCCTCCGAGCGAACCGGTCGACGTTAGCACAGCATTTGAGATTGGCCCGATACGACGGCCGCTCACAATTTTCGTTTCGGGCGCCTTATTCTGAATAATATCGTGAAATCGCCTTTGCACGGAGACACCGACAGTCATCGACGTTACAATAATAATATATCGTCTGTGATCTATATTATTATTTGTTTTTCGCTGACTGTGTCGTTTAGCGTCCGGTAATGACGTCCGTGTGAGAAGACATCGAAGGCGGACGATCGTCGAAGGGTCGGTGACGGCGTTAACAGCATCGAGTATGTTCTTTCTCGTTATAAACGCGACCATCCCATGTATCTACTATACCTATATAATATTACATTTATATAAGTAGTACCCTTAAACGAATGTGTTACAAGTCATATGTGACACGTAATAATTCGGCCAAACTCTAAAAATATTCACGATTTGATATTCTGTTTTAATTAATATATTCTTACTTTTTGTAATTAATTAGGTGTTGAATACCAAAATACCTATTGTCACCGTAAATAAACCCTAATTTCTGTGATGGATGCAGTACTTTTATATGTCTGATCTTGACTACAAATAATAATATWGATTAGAGATTTTGTTAAAACAAACATACAATTTCGAATTTTTTTTTGTGTGTGATAACCGCCTCACTACCTCCCACGATTACCAATTTCTTATTCTTCGATTCCGTACTATTTATTCATCACATTTCTTTTAATTTACCACTTTTAATAATGTATCGGTACCGGTACCCTATATCAAGAATAAATATTAACTTGTACTCTTTATTTATATGTATTTATTATTACTTGTGTCCTATACCCAGAATCTAGAAAAACGCAACGTCAATGACCCAAGATGTTTATCATTATACTCTAAATAATAGGTATGCACTGCAGTGATTCGATAAATATCTATTTTTAACTATGAATAAAAACTAATAAATGGCTGTAAAAAGATGTTATTTTAAGATCAAGTTATATTATAATTTGTATAACTCATTACTTCACTACTTAATCTGTAATCACAGCTGTAGGCATAAATTAATTACAATTTCGGGCATTAAAAAGAAAACGCTATTATTTTTTTAATTTATCATGCATATAAGACGTAGTACGATCACTAAGATCATCTTCAATTTACWAACGATAATATAATTATTTTTTTATAAATTTATACAAACTCAATATGTTAATGTAATTTAATTATGATGTGTTTATTTTGTTAGGTACATGATTATAATTTTGGGCGTAGCCCGTTTCGCCCAAAAATGACCGTACCCGTTTTGCCCAAATTTTGTTTTTATATGATTCCCGTTTCGCCCAGAGTAGTTTTAGACCAATTTAAAATTAAGTTGGCAATAGTTCGGTCAAATACTTGAGTATCATTTAGCGTTATCCAGAAAACACCACTTTGTTTTCCAAAAATTATACACACGTTATTTTTTTTTTTTTTCACAAAAGTTTAACACATCAAAAATTTAGTCCACACAACATTTATAAATACTTATCATTAAAAAATCAAATTAACGTCATAAAAATTTACACATATCTTATAAAAAAAATCGATTTTAATCGTTCAAAATATAATTATTAATACCACCTAAAGTTTATTTTTAAAATTATTACACATGTTTTTTATGAATTCATAACGAGTAATTTTATTTGAGCGGTACCTCGTTATTTGTTTCTGATTGTGTACTKTCCTTTTAATTATATTCGCATCTTTTGATATCTTTGATACTTTAACGCTATTGATTTTGATATACGTATCAGTTTACTCAAGTATTTGACTGAACTATTGCCAACTTAATTTTAAATTGGTCTAAAACTACTCTGGGCGAAACGGGAATCATATAAAAACAAAATTTGGGCAAAACGGGTACCCGGGCGAAACGGGTACGGTCATTTTTGGGCGAAACGGGTCCCGCCCATAATTTTTGTTAAATTACATATAAAAAATATTGAAACAATTTTTGTAAAATGTTTGCACTATTTTTTTCAAAAAAATKTTCCAAAACTGACTTCATTATTAATACATTTTTCTGTATTAGAAATTGTTGAAACGTTTAAGAAGTTCACAGCCAAATTTTGATAATCCTTGACCCAATGTATTATACTATCACGACTTCATGAGTTATAAAACAACTATCCATAACACTCTATACCTAGGGTCTGTCTATACTCTATACGCAGTCGATTAGACCACCATCGTAAATATAATTATTAATTTTATCATCCATAATAATAAACACATTGCATTATTTTATTTGTTCATGTTTATATAAAATGTATAATTTGCTTAATGCTAATATATATATATATATATATATATATATATTAGCATTAGCCATTATTGCATTAAGCATAATATTGTACATTTTATATAAACATGAACAAATAAAATAATGCAATATGTTTATTATAATTTATAATGGATGATAACAATTTTGTTTTTGATAACGAYGGTGGTGGTCTAAATTCTAATCGACTGCKTATCATAGATAATAAAAGAATTATTTATGCTGCGTATAGACCACGGATATAGATACTAGTATCTATATAGTATCTATATCCGTGGTATAGACAGAGTAAGTAGTTGTAGACCCCTATACCTTATCATTAATCACAAAAAAAAAACTATTGAATAAACCACGTAAATCGGTAAACCATTAGCAAACCAACATAATATTTTGAACCATGGGCGTAGGTAAGGGGGGGTTGGRTGTTCAAACACCCCCCGAAATCAAATAAAACAATCTAACCTAACCAAGAAAACAAAGTTTTATCTTATAATTTTTTTTTATATTTTTAAATTTGTAAATTATATGGACAAAATATTGTATTTATATTATAAATAATTATAATTATTATCATATTATTTAATACATACAAATAAATGATTCTTAATTTTATCATATTAATATAGATTTAGACAAAAAAACCCTCCGAAAATATTTCCTACCTATTTCCTACGCCCATGTTTTGAACGCTTAGCCTGCCCCCTATTTTTGCAACTGGTCGCTAGTCATTACTTACTGATTTATTAGAGTAATAATATTACATAGTATTAAATATAAATATAAATTTAAAAAATAAATAAATGATTCAATTATTTTTGAAGCTTTTATATAACTATTATATAGTTATGAAATAGCAACTTCATCTACCGATAAAATTGGTAAACCCGATGAATAATAGAATAAGTACCAGGAAATGGCGTATATTTAGAAAGATAAAAGTTAGTATAATTCACAAATTTATTAAGATATAAATATATCTTAATCCTTGGTATCAGTAATATTTGTAGTACTTGGAATAATCAATAGTACCACCAATATTGAGAAAAACATACCAATTGGTTTTGATTATTTTCGAGTTAAAATGTCAAATTGAATTRTTGGGACCGTTTTCATTTTATATCGATAGGTATACAGCGACAGATTGTTTATAAAAAATTGTCTGCTAATACAAYTATTGTTAGTGAGGTCAATGGGTCATATCTAGACCTATGAAGATGTAAGAATACATCATATCATGTAAATCCACAATTTTTGACCAATTGGTAACAAATTTTTTAGACGTATTATTTGGTGGTTCGTATAAGTATTTAGATTAGAAGGCTCGAGGAACGGCTGTTATTTATTAGATTAAGAGAAAGTGTATTGCATTGATCCATAGAATCGAAAAATACTCTACTGATTTTGTTGATTCAAGAAAGGTTTAGAATTTAGATAATTATATGTACCTGTATTTTAGGGTGACTTACTCCCGATTTTAATAATAAAAATCATAACCACACATTCATTTATTTTTGCTTGCAGCAATAGGTTAAACGTAAAAAGTCGTGAATTGCCTATCTCGCTTTAATTTATACCTAGCCTGGTAATACAGGTATAGTATTTAGTAATCRTAGTAAGTTCTAAACATCTTTTGAGGAGTGGAGGGTGTAATTAGTTTTTGCGGGATAAGTCAAGGCCAACTTGTACTTTTGCTTGGCACCTTGAAAATGCATTTAATATATTGTTTAGTTCCTAGTGTTCCTACATATACCTACTTGTTTTTCGTAGACGTGGGTCGACTCGTAAGTCGACCGAAAATCTGCTAGGATTGTATTTATTGCCAATGGCATATTGATATATAGCCTTATAGATTTTTTTTTAAACTTTTTGTATACCTATATACACTTATTGATAATAAAAACTGTACGAAGCCATATAGATTATTAACTACCTACATATTATACAGATATAAATATACCTTATACCTATGCATAGTAAAGCAGTGTTAACATTTTTCGAATTAAAACAGCAAACAGGAAAAAACACAATAGTACCAATTTAGTTTAATCACATAATACATTTAACTTACTCTATGATATAATAGTATAAATTATACTGTATAATATAATATAAATTCAGAATTACGATGTTAAATGTATATAAGTAACCTGTAGGTAAAAAATACACCCATCAATATTTTATTGTTCATGTTTCCGAATGCGGAATGATAGGTATATAATAAAATAATTGCCAACTGCAATTGCTGAATGTATAGTGTAAATTAGTGTAACAATTATTATTATTGTGCATGTACAACCTACATATTGAAGATTCAAATTAATAATGAAACATGCATGATTTTATGCTTACTGCTCGTTATGATAAATAAAACTGCAGTCAAAAAAAAAACATTTTATTTTATTAAATTCTGATCATACTGTTCATGGATTTTCTTAAAAGTTTCTTTCAAATTATAATTTCTAAATTATTAATTCTGTGAAAAATACGAAAAGATTGCTCTTTAATTTTGATTATAGGTCAATCAGATCTAATATTAGACCTCGTATTAGACTGAAGTCTAGCTAAAACTGTTCAGATTTTCGGAATTTCATGTCAGAAATCTAGACACAAACAATTGTCGCTCACAATTTTCTTAATTATAATGGGAGGGTTATATGATCCTATTCTCTGGACCTCTTACAATTAATTTTTCGAAACAAAATTGAAACAAATTGCAAAAGTGTATTACATTTCAAACATTCAAGCAAAGTCGAAAATTTCTGATAACACAGCACATACTATTTTTCATTTTATTTTCAAGTGATAAAAACAATAAATAATAATTAAAATGCCTAGCGGCCATGGGTGTATTGTATGTCTGTATATATCGAGGTATATCTCATATTTTTAATTTTTATTTAATTTTGGAATTAAATTATTAGACACATTATTGTACTCGCTTGAAAATATCTAATATTAATGTATAATATATTCTATATTATTATTGTTTATTATTAATGTGTTTTTTAGTCCATAATGTATTTAACATATTATATATACAAAATTGACGCACATAAGTCATGATATAAAACTGTGGAGAAATTATTTTAGTACGTCTAAGACGATTCTGCAGTCACAGATTAATGATCACTAATTGAATCAACTTACCAAACAATTGTATATTTGTATATATACCTAGGAAAATAAAATACATTGACAGAATATGATAATCGACCTAGTGTCAGTAATCATAATTTTTAGGGTAAAAATATTATATAATTTTATATTCCGGTATAATTATAATAATTACCTTTTATTACAATTTGCAAGATATATTATCGTCGGCACGAATAATATATATTATATTATTTAGGTAGTAATGCGTCACAATAATAATATAATGATTGATGATGCAATCAAAGTACGAAATAGTAATTTATTTGTAAATCAATTTAGATATTGTTACTTTGCCCTATTTAAGATAATATTAATTTTTATTGATTAATAAATAATTCTAAATGTTAAAACGATACCACTATATATACTTATATAGTTACAAATTTACAATATGGAATATAAATTGTCGAAATAATATAACAATTATTTTTAACAAGTAGGTACAGAATAATATCATCCGTATGCAATTTTATAAATAAATTATAGTTCAAATCAAAAGGAATAATTAGATCGCATAATGCTATAAATTAATTTAATTTTAATGTTTATGGATACAATATAAGTATGTTTTTGTAAAAAATAAATAAATCTTCGAATTTTCGTTTTAAATGTATATTTTTATACTTTATATTAAATAGAAACATATAATAAGATAATTATATTTCCCTGGTCGATCAAATTAAACATGCAAGTTAACTTCATTCGCAAACACACATTCAAGTTWGCTAAATCACGTTACTATAAAAAGATCTTTAGTTATAATCAATAGTACTTCCTATATAGCTTATATCAATTAAATGTTTTATTTAATATTTTGCAATTTATATATATATATATATATATATATTAAAATTGTCATTATTTACCTACAACAGAAAAATATTAAGTGGATTTTATCAAATTATTCAATAAATGTTTTTTTTTTTTTAGGTAGCAGGTTTAAACGACGACCAATAAAGTAATCAAAATTATGGATTATATTGCTGCTATTGACATAGGCACAACTAATTTGAAATGCCAGATCTTTTCTCCTGATTTTCGTGTTATTGGATCTTGTATTCAAAAAGTATGTATTTGTATATTATGTTTTATTTTTATTATAGGTGCAGAGTTTTAAATTTGTATTGTATTGCTGGTTTTTAGATTTTATAAAATATTTTTCTGCCTATTAGTAGAAGTTTAAAATTTAAAAATAGTATATTTAATACAATGTAATTCATCATGCATGCTTACCATCCCCTATTCTTTTCCAATGATGCAGTTATTCGAAAGTAACCCCCCAAATTTTTTCTGTCGTTTACTATTACCTAAGTTGTAATATGGATATTTAATGTTTAATTTGTTATAGGTTAATATATTAAAACCTTTTCAAGGCTGGGAAGAAATCAATCCAAATGAATTACAAAATGGTGTAAAACTAGTCTTACAAAATGCATTAAAAGGTTATTATTTATAACTAATAATAATATTGTAGTTTATGGTGAACCAAATTGCTACTTAATTCTTGACTTAAGTATATTTTTACACATGTAACATCAGATATAGTACATATAATAAATGTATGGTTTATTAGTTTATTACTAATAAAATATTTTTGTAACTTCTTTTATAATTGGTCAATTGATAATAAATAAAAGAAAAAGATTTCAAATTAATAATTTGAAACTCAAAAAGCTTATTACAGTATTTTAATTTGAATGTATATTTTTTCGGAACTTTTCTACTTGTTTATTATCATTTGTACTGATTGAAATAGAAATTACAAAAACATTTTATTGATAATAAATTAAATATTAATAAACACTTGACTTAGTATAATATGTACAATGGCACATATATAAAAAATATTAAATAAGAATGTTTAGTTTAGTCAATGTATCTTTTAATAGATGCTGATCTCAAGTCCAATAATATAAAAAGCATAGGTTTGTCTACACAGCGGAACACATTCATAACCTGGAATAAAAATACTGGTCAACATTATCATAATTTTATTACGTGGGGAGATACACGTTCAAATATAATAGTTAAAGAGTTAAACAAATCTATAACCTTCAAAGTAAGAATTGTATTATAAATACTATTTAAATGTATGCAAATGATCATTAATTTAAATGTATTAATAAAATTGAAAATTATAGTGTTATTATTAACTCATTTAATATTTTCATATTTTTTAGATAGTCAAATATATTTCAAAAATACTATATTTAATATTTGCAACAAAACAACTGAAATTTGTGAAATCATTTACATTTTCAAACATACAAGTATTATAATTTAATATGTTATTATATGTTTAATGTATATTATAAATGGTTATTAATTGCAGATTTTGCCTAAGCTTTTATGGTTATTACAAAATAATCGGAAATTCAGACAAGACATGAAAAATAACGAAGTGCAATTTGGCACATTAGACACTTGGTTATTATATCAAGCCAGCAATGGTAAACTACATGTGACTGATGTATCGTGTGCTAGTGCTACTGGATTGTTCGACTTGTTCACCATGTCTTGGATGCCTAATCTTATGTTTCAATATTTTGGGATCACAAATACTATACTTCCCAGTATTTGTGATTCAAACGTATTAAAGTACCTAGCAGACAACAATATAACCTGCAAAATCTCAAATATTTCGATTGCATGTTCAGTGAGTTAACTTYTCAATGTAATTATCTAACCATCCATTTGAATATTTATATTTCTTAATAATTAATAATATAGCTTGCTGACCAATCAGCATCACTATACGGAACAGGTTCTTTTTCAAAATATACAGCCAAAGTTACAATGGGAACCGGAATGTTTCTAGATATAAATTGTGGTTCATTACCGGAAGTATGTTTAGGTCAGAAAGAATATTATATTATATTCTTACTATAATTTTTATAATTATTACCATTAGTTATTATTTTTGTTAATATRTTTTATGTCGATCTTAAAACAAATTATCTGGAAATTTGGAATATTCAATAAGCACTTATTTTGAATTATCTATTTTAGYGATRTTTAAATGTTTAATGTAACTAATGTTAAAAGTTTAAAACAATTTTTAATAGGATACTTTCCTTTGGTGGGTTGGACATTTAATGAAGATATTTGTTTTTCATTGGAGGCAGTTGATTACAACAGCGGATCGTTAATTCAACTTGCAAAATCCATTGGTAAAATGTGTATTTGGGAGAATTTGAATAAAATATGTGAAAGTATAATTCTATTTTTATTTTCGATATAGGTGGTTTAAATAATCTAAAAGAATTAAATATGTTGAAGCAAGGAAATGAATTTTCAACTAACAATGTATTATTTGTATTACCTGAATCTGAGGTAGTTGAGTGATTCTGTGATTTAATAGATTAATGTTGTAATTATATGGCAAAAATTATTTTTCAGTCATCTAAATCAATAAGAAAAGATTACAGTTTTATTGGTGTTACTACGTGTACTACAAAATCAGATATGGCAATATCGATTTTAGAGTCTTTTGCATTTAGAATTAAAAAGATACTTGATAATTATCACAATGAAATGCCACAAATGGTATTAAATACTTTATGGTAATATTTGTTTAATTATCGCCAATATATTTAATAACCTATTATTACTTAAAGTTTTTGTTTTTATGTAATAATATATACTTCCATAATACTTATTAAATGGTAACTCCTTTAAAATTGTACATATTATTGTTTAGGGTTGATGGTGGAGTGTCTCGAAATGATTACATTTGTCAAACAATTGCCAATGTAACATCCACTACAGTTGTAAGAATGAAAAACAGTAACAGAACCGAAGTATCTTGTTTAGGTGCAGCTTTTATGGCTGGACTATCTTCAGGTATGTACTTGAGTATTTTATCAATGTTATTAATGTTTAAAAATATTATATTTATATACAAATGTTCACATTAGGTGTATGGACAAATAAAAGAGAGTTGATGAATTTCAGAAACAGAACTGATCAAAAATTTTTTCCAGATAATAATGATTATTTTGCTAATGAATATAAATATATAAGATGGTTGTATAACCAAAAGTGTTTGTATTAAAAATACTAACTTTTTTATTTTTTGTATTAAAACTAAACAAAACAATGTACAATCACAGAAAACAAAACCATTTATTACGTAAAAACATGGTGACAAAAGCTTACAGCTTACATTATAATCCTGTGAAAATAAAATATCCAATTATAACCTGGATTTTGAGTSTTGAAATATAATCTTATTTTCAAATAGTTTATTGATTTCTATTTGTGTATATCCAATACTTTCAAGTATTTCCCTTGTATCCTGTCCACAAACTGCAGTTGGTTTATTTGAACTTGAAACGCCAGGAGTAACACTTAGTTTTGGTGCAGGAACAGGCAGCACAATATTATCTTTCCTGATATATGAATTTCTACTTGCATTATGAGGATGTTGGTCAACTTCATCCAGCTCTAACACAGGAGTTACACAAGCATCTTTTAAATCAAATATCTAAAATCAATAAGATTTATTTTTTAGTTAGATTACAATAAAATTTCAAAATTATTATGTTACTTACATWGCACCATTCTTCTCGTGTTTTTTCTTTAAATTTGTTTGCAATAATTTCTCTATTTCTCTCAAAATTATCCATCTGTTCAATATCATCAATGTTCAATCCTAATCCTTTAATAAATTCTTGATAAAATTGTGGTTCTAATGCACCAACAGCCATCCATTTACCATCTTTGGTTTTGTATGTATCATAGAAGTGCATTCCTCCATCCAGTCTAATTAAAAATAATGAATACAATATTTTGTRACAATCTTTTATTTTGTTTTAAAAAGTTTACAAACAAATTCTGTCCTTTTGATTTCCCCCAAATCATTGAGTCTTGTGAACACATCAACCAACTTCCAACATAAGAAATTCCTTCAGTTATATTGGCGTTAACTACCTGTCCTTTTCCACTTTTATATCTTTCTATGACTGCCATTAAAATTCCCATTACGCATACCATACTACCGCCCGCGAATTCAGAAAAATTTACGGGAGGAACAGGTTTTGAATTCTTTGAACCATACAATGATAACAACCCTTTAAGTTTTAAAATAAACATGTGAAGAAATTAATCTAATACATTTGTCATTATTAAAAAGTAAAACCAACCAACCCGACATGGCTAAATAATTTATATCATGCCCAGCTCTTGGTGCATATAGTCCATGTGAGCCATAACCATTCAATCGAGCATATATCAAACGAGGATTTTTGGCCATCATTTCATCAGGACCTAATCCCAGTTTTTCCATTACACCTTTTACATTAAATAATTAATTTTAATGTTTGAATATGGGTACCTATGTCATAATTTCATCATTTAAGATGTATAGCTAAGATTGATTAGCTGTTTTTACCAGGTCTATAAGGTTCAAGTACAATATCAGCATTAGTGATTAATTTCTGTGTAATTTCAACACCTGCTGGATGTTTTAAATTGATACTTATAGACTTTTTGCCAMCGTTAAAAAAGTTTGTAAGTTCCATACCAACATTTTTCTACAAAACAATAAAAATAGTCTTATTAAAGTATGTACCCATTATCATTATATATTTTTTGAGATAGTGAAATTACAGTATAATAATATTGCTATGGGTTGTGTACTTACTTTTTGTATTACAGTCACATTTGCTCCAAAATCAGATAATACAGTTCCAACAAAAGGTACAGGTGCAAGTCCAGAAAATTCTAATATGTTTAATCCTTTCAGTGGCATATTGGTTTAGAAATACAATCATACAATTATCTAAATAAACTATTGAATGATCCTCTACTTTACAATTGAATGTAATTTCTCTGCTTTCCAGGTGGTTTGCCTTTATAATATAATTAACATAATATGAATTAATTATTTGTTTACCACTCCAGGTCAAGGAAGAATAATAGAATTATATTCCTACAGTTTTTTTTGTGTTAGTATTGCAATTTTATTTTCTATGAATTAAAATATAAATAATTTAACAAGTTATAATTTATTTACCCGTCACAATATTATAATTGYTAATTAATAATGTATTATATTATTATGATATTATRCAATATCATCTAATATATGTTTTAAATATACCTAGTGATTGAACTAGATAGTCGGAAGCACTRAAGAGAGTTAGTAATTGTATTAATAATAAACATTGAWTCACATTATACTAAAGATGTAGTTAAATTATGTAGATGCATWTTGTTTTAGTATTATCTTATTAATTTATATATTATATATTAATTATTATAATCTAACTCCAAATTAAGCGATCTAACTGAGTAGTAGTTTCTACCCTGCTGCGGGCAGTGGCTATCTAAATTGTAAGAGGAGAAAATTCTTGTAAAATAAACCAACAAAAAACAAACGTCTAGACCCACTACCCAGTGAGTCTCAAGTCTCAACTGGTGTACAGTGACAGTACTACTATGTTGCGAGATCAACTAGGTCTAGGTGTGCAGCGAAAAATGTCTGATATTCGTAATCGTAATATTATGTTGAGGAAAAAATATTGAAAACAGTATTTTTTTATTAAATTACATTTGGGTTCAGTGTGCCGCAATAACTTGTGATGTGATGTATAGTGTGACTAATGTGAGTCGTGAACCAAAAAAGTTTGAGAACTACTGCACGCTATCACTGCAGTTCGCTTATCACAAACCCATAATAACTTATTTAAATAATTATTTTTTATTTTATAATTTTAATAATAATTTGTAATTTTTTTTTTTTATTTATATTATAAGAGGACCCGCGGCCACATAAGCTATTGGATGTGGGGTGGTACGGTAGGAGTTATTTTTGTGTATTTGTTTGTAGGTTTTTAAGTTGGTAGGTTGTAACACATATTTGTGTATATGTGGCAAGGATATGTTGCTAAAAATCTCGGGTGGTCACCCATCAGGGAGCTAGCAACTGCGTCCKGTACGTACGATCAGTGCGTTTCCGCAGAGTAAGCGTACAACCGCGCCTTGCCAAGCCACGTTTTATAATTAATATAATTGAAAATGGAAAATAATTCTTTGGATGATTGTGCAATATCTTAAAATGACAAATTATAATTTTTTTTCAATTACATTTAGTTCACACTAAGATAAGGATTAAACATTAAAACCATTTGAAACAAAACACCTAAGGGCAAAAACCTAAATAAGATTTCAATATTATTTTTCAAAAAAATTTGTAATTTTAGTTTGTTTTTTATTTTGTTCTAATATTAATATTTTCTCTTTTTTTCCATCTATGGAACCACGGAACCACCCCTCTTTCGCTTTGAAGTTAACCTTCCCCATTTTTCCTGCCAATTCTTCAGCTTTTTGGCGAAGCAAAGGCGAAGCACGTTCAATTATTATACGTTATAAGGTAGGTACCTACCAACAGAAACTAGAAATAATCAACACGAATATTATTTAATTTTTCAATACCAATTGATTTCTAAATTATAACCAAAAAAGTTTATTTTCTACTATTTATTTTACAAAATTTGAGTCTTATAACCGATTTTCTTTAAATGTATTTTGATACGTCCGGACCGTTCCAGACGATTTTGAGTCTAATAAGCGACTGAACCTATTATATCCGTGAGTCTAATAAGTGGCGTCTACTGTATAAAGTAACAGATTTAGTGTGAAACAATTATACATAAAAACTAAAACTCTAATAAAAATATAAACTAATATTACTTTAAGTTATAATAATTTGTTGTTTTTATTTCTTGCTTAATGATTCAAGTTTTGTTTGTTTTTTAAGCATATCACAAATCCTTTACAACTCAAGCAAGTTGCAATTACATAATTTTTCGGCACGTGTGTTTTAGGCCGCATCATCCATTTCTTTTTTTTATGCCATTTGTTCATATTAACAATTAATAGATACACAAAAAAAATTAATAAATCTTAATACACTAAACTAAATTCTATACTGCAATGGAGAATAGTAGATTAAACACAACTGTTACAAAGTTAACTAATAAAGTCTGAAATAAATGTTAAAAGGGATAGCCGATTAGTTGTGGTTTTAAAATTTGGATTAATTCTGGATTTCAGAAATAACAGTTAAAACTCAGTGTTGGGTAGTAACGTAACACGAATTACAAATTACTGTAACGCAATTACTTTTTCAGTAACGCAGCAGTAAATTCATTACATTATACTAAAAATAACGCAATTGTAACTAAATTACTTGGTTTTCAAAAGTGATTTTTATGAAGTAACGCACTAACGCGTTATTTTCCACGTTACGAAAATAATAGTTTTGAATGTATTACAAAAACAAACCGATAGGATATCTCAGATAAATCAAAAATTAATTATACTTATTTTTGATTCCGATAATAGTTAACAATATTACTAAACATAAAACATTCCAGGAATAAATGTTATCATTATATAAGCAGAAAAAAAAGAGTTCGGTTTAAAAATAAAATTTAATTATGATTTATGACTTATGACTATATAGCAATATAGCTAGGTGAGATGATCGTACATTTGAACATAATACTATAATAGGTATATTATCACTAGGTCTATGATTGTAAAATATATACTTACATAATAATTGAATCATATGAATTGAATATGGTTAAGAAAAAAAGGTAAAAAAAAAGCGGGTAAGTCGTGTATGTCGCTCTGCTGTACAGTAGGTTACAAGTGGGTTACTGTAATGGATGGAATTAAATTTGAATCCAATGATATTATATCATTGTATACAAAAAACGATTCTGAGCGAAGACGGTTTATCTGTCTAGGATATATTATAGATTATTAAAAATTTTCAAATCTTAGATTTAAAAAGAAAAATTTTTATGAATTTCTAGTTTGAAATAATTTGCGAATTTTGGTGATTTTTATGTATTTTGTCAAAATTCATAATTTGAATGCTTATAAAAAAAAATTGTGACGAACTACTTTTATTTGACAACTGGTATTGTAACAATATGTTAAGAGCCTTGCATTACATTTTCAAGATTTTCTACCCAAAAAATAAATTTTTATCGATATTAATTTTAAAAAAAATTTCATGTATCAATGGTCATTTGTTTAGTTCCTACATCAGATTTTGTCGAAAACTGATAGTGCGTAAAATTTCCCGTTTTTCCCTTAATTTTTAGTTTATTTATCCCAATTATTTAGAAAAATATTAAGGATTTTTTACTTTTGACCATCCAAAGTACCAATTAGATTCACTTTCTGATCAAACGAGGTACTGAAGTCGAAAATCGAAGCACTTTTACTGCTCCAAAACAGGTTTTATATTAATAAACTAACATGGTTTTTTGACGAATTTTTGTCAATATTTGAACTTCATCATATGCTATTAAAAAAAAATGTGCCTATGTATTCTTATAATTTTTTAATCACTATGATAATAACTTATGAGGAACTTTGTATTAAATTTTCAAGTATTTTTATTGTGCCAAAAAAATTTTATCGACACTTCAAAAGAAAATTTTCAGAAAAATAGAAAATTTCATTTGTCTATACATATCTCAACAAAAATCAAAATATATTGTAAATTAAATCATGTAAAGAAAATGCCAATCTAAATAACTGGTAAGATTTTCAAGTATCTACAACTTATACATTTTGAATAAATAACAAATATTTAAAATCGTTTGAGTATAAATCGTTATCGTTACGCTATTTCATAAAAATTTAAAATTCAAACGCGCTTAAAATTTTTCCTATAATGATGCTTCGAGTTTTCTCTATAGCTACTTGAAGGAAAACCTATGGAAAACTTAGTGCTGTATTTGTAATCCTTAGTTATAAACACAAACAATTTTATGATTTTTCAACTTCAAAATTACTTGCAAATTTTCGCGTTTTCGACAGATTTCGTAAAAATTTGAACTATAAACGCTTATAAAAAAAATTGTGACTTACGATTTATAWTTTTTTTTAGCTACAATAAGAACAACTCATAAGAAACCTTGTATTAAATGTTCATGTTTTTTTGGTCATTCAACATTTTTTTACCGACACTTAAAAAAAAATCGAAAATTTCAGTGGTCTATAAATAACTCAAAAAAGTCAAAAAATTTTGAAAATTAAACTGTAGGTATATAGATAACACTAACATAAACATTTGGTGAAAATTTCAAGTATTTACAGTGATCAGTTTTTTAATTACAACCATGTAAAAAAATAGTAAAATGGTTCCAGCAAATGGTAAAAAGTTTACGAAAACTGGTTTTGCGTAAAAATGCCCGTTTCTGTCACTTTTTTTGATGTTTTTCTCGATTTTTTTGAAAACTGTTGAAAAATGTTTACTTCCGGAAACCACCCCCAAAGTTTGAAATTGAAGCATTATTTCGATTAGTTATGCTGTACACAGGCACATGAAAAAAAAACACACATCATTATAAAATCAATACATTCATCACTCCGTACAGAATCTAAACAATTTCTAAAAGTCTATAATTGAAGTAGTGTTGTTTGGACACGCCCTTCTATCAAGCCGTCCAGTTTTGTAAACTATTAACCATATTACTTATTGTATAATGTATAGCATAATACAGATTGTATATATTATGTATATATACACTTTTTTTATATAWAAAAAAAATAAAAAACAAAAAAAAGAAGGTATATGTTACTCAATAACTACGGGCTACGGGTTCTTTCAATCCGCATTATCGCTTCATCTTGTTGTAATAATCGTTCATATTTTATTTTTATAAAAGTCTGGGAAACCTTGACTATTGAGGATCCTACCAGTATTCCGCGTTTATAGAGGTACCGTACCAGTTTTCCGTTTACCGGTATATATAGGTACATAGACTTTAGGTAATGAATAATGATACTCGAGTAGCAACTCACCTATACCTAAAATATTTTCAGGCCGGAATTCACCATTCTCCAAYACCTGGAAACGACACGTCGGTCGGCAACTCACCCACAGCCAACACATCTTATATTTTAAAGTAATAAAATACTTAATGTGATGAATTATATGAATRTAAAATTGTGTAGTACTTACACTAATAATATTGAGAAAACATATGCAGGTATAAAAAAAATAAAAACATAAAAAAATAATAAAATTTTAATATCTCTCTAGCCACACTAGGTCCAAATATATATTATCGGACATGAGTGTTGTACAGTTGTACCTAATTGATAATTTTAATAATTATTATTTGATTAACTACTTATTAATTAAAGAAAACATTATTATAGCACTATTCAAGTATTTCCTATCAAATAAATCAATATTAATTAAATACAACACGAAAATTCTGTCTACTTTAATCTAATAATCATGTTATGAGTTATGAGTTTATGACTAATGAGTAGGGCTCGAATGCTCAATACGTAGGAAGTTATAGGAGTTAAACCAAATTTTATAAATAATCWTAAAAATACAATAATTTACAATACCAAAAATTAATTTTAATAATTTTATGTTATTAATTTGCACTATAAGAAATGTTTAATATAACAGAAAACTATTTACAATTTTGACATTATATAGTTTAAAAAAGAAATTGTTAAAAATTATATTTGATAAAATACAAATATCACATTGGAATATTAGCACAATAGAGATTATAATATGCACATTGGCACATTGCTCTGCTTACAATAAATTAATAGTAAAATGTGAAGAAAATAAATAATAGTGACTTTTATATTCAATGTTATTATTACAGCTTGGGAGAGAAAAACTAAAATCTAAGAAATATTAAACCTCAGTTGAACTCTGATCATAACTCAACAGTTTCAAGTCAATAGGTTATACAGAAATCACAGAAAAGACACAGAATTGGTCACACATGGTGGAAAATTCAGAACCTTTTATAAACCCTTCATGTAAAATAAATATTATAAAAACACATAATCATCCAATGTACAATATTTAAAGAGGCCAAAGAAAAATGCTTAATTTCAGATAACCTGTACAATGCAATAGGACCCTATTCTGTTACAAAAAATGTATCATAGAACTTAATGTGATGTAAATCTAATGTAAATAACACTCCATATACTGCAAACTGTTTAACTGTTTAAATGACTGTTGTGAATTATATTGAAAGAACCTTGTAGTCGATGCTGAAACAAAACAAAAAAAAATATTAAAAAATATTATAATTATATTATAACTCAAATTTCTAGGAAGATAAATTAAATTAAACTAATAAATTACTTGATTAATTGTTGTAATATTTGCTGCATAAAACATCATCACTGTCAATGAGAAAATATGCTGTAAATGGTTTCATCATAAATAATGTTGATAAAAACTTTTTATCGGCACAACATGGTATGTTATTTATATCAAACCATTGATTATCTAATCAAAACAAAATCATTTTAATATTTTACAAAAGTAATAACTATTAATATAAAATACAGTGTCTAGAAGTAGAAGCAGTATAAACTTAATCAATTGTTTGTCACATTTTGTACATATACTACACAAGCATGAATCATCTGAAATTGTTGCTAATTTATCTCCCTTAAAAAAGTAATTCATGGTATTTTGATTTTTTCCCCCTTCAAAAATATAAAATATAATCCCAATGCCTAAAGATGATCCAAATATTACAATTATCTACATCTAACCTACCCAGAGGTGGACTTAGAACCATTCAGCCCACTATTTTTGAAAAATAATCTCCCCTATACTATTACTACCTAAACGTTTAGACATTAAAAATTTATTTTTGAATTTTTTATTACTCCACATTTCCCCAATAGCCATAATAAACAGGTGATAGTATTATTTTTAATTTAAATTTCTTTGAGGCAATATTAATTTATGTTTTTTATATTGCACTTTTAATCATAAATCATATTAGAACCTAAAGTATAATAAATGCAATAAAAACTATGCAATAATACTCTAAAATAGCAAGTATCTCCTTTAAAATGTATTGAACTGCAATGATGTCCTTTAAAATTACCAAAAATTTATTTTAACAATTATTAAGTGAAAAAGGCTACAGACTTCACAAAATAAACGTGATAATGATGTAATATACCAACTGACCAATTAGTTATTATTAGTTATTACTGATTGGAGTTCATAAAATTATAAATAGTAAAATTGACAAAATATGATAAATAGTAGTAGCAAAATGTTTTAAATTACCAATTAAATTTAATCTAAAGTTTGAAAATGTATATTTTGTATAAATATGCACTAAAAATTAACAAACATTACTTAAACATTATAATAAATAATAATTACTACCCAATGGTATAACCCTTCACTCAAAAGAAAAGAAGAAACAGTAATAAATAGACTACGGATAGGACACACTAGATTCACWCATGGTTTCCTCATGGCCAAAGAGGAACCTCCCATCTGCACAACCTGCAGAACAAATCTCACTGTCAAGCACATCATATCGGWCTGTATRAAGTATAATCAAGAAAGGATCAAACATGGGWTATCACACAACCTCGATGCAGCCCTTGGAGCCAATTACCAACTCAACGCAGATTTAATTAACTTCCTCAAGCAAACCAATATTTATAACCAAATCTAAACATGTAAGCAAACGTAATGTAAAAAATAAAATAAATAATGGCCTTTGTTGCCGTAGTTGTAAACAATCAATAAAAAAAAAAAATAACAATAATAATAATTATTGCTAAAAAAACATCAAAACTGATAAAAATACAAAATAAAAGCTTAATTGTTTTCATTTCTTTGATGTTTAAATATGAAAGGGATTTTGTACTTGAAAGCATTGCTGGGGACGTCCCAACAAAATAATGCATTTTGCATCGAAATACAGACCCTATATAATATTATAACCAGAGCTCAGGACTTATAGCACTTAAAATCAATAAAATAAGTGCTTAAATACTAGTCAAATAATCAAAAATAATCAGAATAACTGGAAATAAACATTTTTAGAAAAATCACTAAAACAAGCGAAAAAAAGCACTTTCAAACTTTATAATTAAACATATTATAACATGACATACACTTTCATGCATTATGCTACATTTTAAGTAAATCCATAAAAATAAGCAAATGCTTTAAGCGTTGAGCCCTGATTATAACTTAGAAGTATTTAAGGTTTAATTAATAGAACTAAATGGATTATGTTGAAAAATAATAAGATTATACCAGGTTTATTTTATAGCAGTCCAAGGTACATAATAAGACACTAGCCCACCGTACAATTGTACAGTAGCCGAGTCCACCCCTGAACCTACTGTAGAACAGAAAAAAAGTTTATACAACTTAGAACATTTCAAATAAAACTTTATCTCAAAGATTTTTTAAAAGCTATAGCCCTAAATATTAAGTTACAGCGATAATAATTTATAGAATGGCTATTTTTTTTATAAATATGATATTTTTTTTCTATTTTTTTAAAATGTTCCTGACAAGTCCTTCAAGTTAGTCATATAAGTATAATATATATTATTTATTTTAAATATTATTGACTATGGTCTATGATTCAATGGTGTATTTTTTTTAAATATATCTTTTGTATTAATTAGGTACTATATTATAGGTAACAGACTTTTTTACCCCAAGAAATTTTTTTTCTTACTATCGAACCTACTATAACGCTTAATATACTATCACTAACTATCCAAGTAATTAATTTAAAAAACTACCATTTATTGGTGTAAAATTGGTTAGTTTTGAGACGTCTATAACAAACATATGAATTTCTTTCATACGTGGAATATCAGTGAGTTCAACATTAACAACTGCTATTTTTTGTACTTCATCTGTAGTTATTTCATAGTTACTTTTTAAATATCTGAAACAATACAAATCTAAAGTTTCAACAATGTTTATATATTATTCAAACTAACCTCAAGGCGGCATTTTCCAAAGACTCTCCTTTTGTTACTTTTTCATGCTGTTCAAAGATTTTAAATTCTTCAACATTATTACAAATAAGTATTTGACTATCTTTTTTAATAGTAACATTAACCCAAATTTCTTTAGTCTTTTTGACAACATTTAATAATTTGATAGTACTATCCAAGATGGTATCATCATTCAAATACTTGAAATGTGCTTTAAATGGAATTTTTTTTAATACCAAAGGAAACCACAATTTATGATCAACCCACATGTCGCATGGAAATTCATTAATTTTGAACCACTTTATTGGCGCCATTTCTAAAATAAAATAATTTAGTATTACAGGTACCCATACAAAAATATTTATAATAAATATAAAAATATTTTATTTGTACCATCAGATTCAATTATGTCACCTTCAAATTTATCACATAAATATACATGACCTTCCAAAATTTCTTTTGATCCAACATACTCAAAATCTATAACACCAATTTTTTTCATAGATATGGCATCCAATCCACATTCTTCTTTTACTTCACTGAAAATAAATATTAGTATTACTGTTGTTATAGTGTTATATAATTGGGTACTTTTCGATTATCGTACCCCAACGGTCGGCAGGCCGACTGCGGCGGCGGTCGGGATATACCGATTCCGTTCTCGTACCCCATTATATTTATCTCAATATTGTCAAGTTGCATTGCCATACGAATAAATAAATAATTG